TATTATATAAATTTTATACAAATGGAATTTAACTATATGTGCTCTTTTTAAATCTTTTTCATATAAAATATTTGTGAAAATGTTTCTATGTGAACATAGAACTCGAATGTAAGCTGGGTCTTCACATTATTTACCATTGTATATCTACTTACACAACAGTGTCTTCCACACAGTGTGCACTCACATATTTGTTGGATGATGAAATGAATAAATTAATCACCATTTTCAATATATGGGTGGTCTTATGCATTCAAAGATTTGTTGAATGATAAAATGAATAAACTATATCATTTTCAATAGGTAATATTCTAGTAAAGGGATGTGCCATAGACAATTTATTCAATGCATCCTGTTAGAAATTTAAGTCATTTTCAACTTTTTACTGTTATAAGTGATGCTGGGTACATACAGCTGTGTATTTTTACAATTTTCTCCTTTAGAATAAATGTCTAGAAGTGTATTTTCTGATTAAAAAGAATGAATATTATAAACAATATATATTGTCAAACCACCCTTCATAAAGAAAGCACCATTTTACATCTACTCCAATAACGTATGAGTTTGTATGCTTTTTTCTCATACTCTCAACCAACATTGGGCATTTCCAATATTTTCTTCCTTTTCAGTCTTCATGTCTTTGGTTACCAGCAAGGTTATATATCTTTTAATTCTTTTACTAATTTGTATTTCTTTTGTGAATTGCCTGTTGATGTTCTTTGTCCAATTTTCTGTTAAGAGTATTTGTCCTTTATCTGATTCATTTTTACAACTTACAGCATACATTATGTTTCCCAATTTGTCTTTTAACCTTGTGTATTTTTGCCATTTAAAAGTTTAAATTTTTTATTTAGTTAAACCACTAATCTTTTGTTAATGAATTTGTCACCGTTCATTTTAAGTACTTGATATTAAACTAGATGAAACTTTTTTCATGAGATATTCCTATCATAACTTTCTTCAGATTACCTGGCTCCATTTGATTCCTTGATATAATAAGAATAAAAAATGGTATATTTGATACTGTTTTTTTGTTATAAAGAAGGACGATTACTGCTACACTATTAATACTAACTAACAATTTACTTTTTGACATGTATTATGCTTCATATATCTTTTTTTTTGTTTAGGACAGTATGATCATAGCTCACTGTAGCCTCGAACTCCTGAGTTCAACCAATCCTCCTGCCTGAGCCTACCAAGTAGCTGGGACTACAGTCATGTGCCACCATGCCTGGCTAATTTTTTAAATTCTTTTTTTAGAGATAGAGTCTCACTATATTGCCCAGGCTGGTCTCAGACTCCTGGCCTCAAGTGATCCTCCCACCTCAAGCCTCTGGTGTAGTTGTGATCACAGGAGCGAACCAAGGCATCCAGCTCATATATCTTATTTAATTCTATCCCATGATGTGGGTTCCATTACTGTCTCCATTCTACTGAAAAAATGAGGTTTTGGGATGTGAAGTGGTTTGACTAAGATAACAGAATTAATAAATGGTAAGGTTATATGAGGCCATAAGAGTACAACCCTAATATAATAGGACTGTGGTTTTATAAGAACAGAAAGAGAGTGAAATCTCTTTCTCTCTCCTTGCCTTCTGAAAACACAGCAAGAAGGCAGCTGTTTACAAGCCAGGAAGAGAGCCCTTACCAGGAACTGAATTGGTTTTTTTTTTTTGAGACATTGTCTCACTCTGTCACCCGGGCTAGAGTGCCATGGCGTCAGCCTAGCTCATAGCAACCTCAAACTCCTGGGCTCAAGTGATCCTCCCACTTTAGCCTCCCGAGTACCTGGGACTACAGGCATGCACCAACACACCTGGCTATTTTTTCTATTTTTAGTAGAGACAGGGCTTTCACTCCTGCTCAGGCTGGTCTTGAACTCCTGACCTCAAGTGATCCTCCCACCTTGGCCTCTCAGAGTGCTAGGATTATAGGCATATAAGCCACTGTGACTCCCAGGAACTGAATTAGCTGGTACTTTTAGCCTCCAGAACTGTAAGAAAATATATTTCTATTGTTTAAGCTACCCAGTCTGTGTGGTATTTTGTTATGGCAGTCTGAGTAGACCAATACAAAAGGGTACCATTTATGTAAGTTAAAATATATATAGCCGGGCGGGGTGGCTCACGCCTGTAATCCTAGCTCTCTGGGAGGCCGAGGCGGGCGGATTGTTTGAGCTCAGGAGTTCGAAA